CGAGCCGCGCCGGCGCCGGGTGGCAGGATGGGCTGTATCCAAAGCATCACCTGCAAGGCGCGGATCCGGCGCGAGAACATCGTGGTGTACGATGTGTGCGCCACCATCGACCAGTGCCCCACGCGCATCGAGGAGACCTCGCCCATCGTCCTGCGCTACAAGACCCCCTACTTCAAAGCCTCGGCCCGCGTGGTCATGCCCCCCATCCCCCGCCACGAGACCTGGGTGGTGGGCTGGATCCAGGCGTGCAACCAGATGGAGTTCTTCAACACCTACAGCGACCTGGGCATGTAAGCGACCCGCCGCGCGGCGCCGGAGCGGGGTGCTGGCCCCCGTCTCTGCCCTCCACCGCGACCCCCTCCCCAGTTCCTTCTTACCGCTGTCCCCATCCTCTTTTTGAACCTTCATCCCGCCTCCCCACCCACCTCCCTCCTCCCTGCGCTTTTGTCTCGATGACTGGGCGGGGGTAAGGAGGCTTCTCGCGAAGGCATTTTTTTCGTGGCTTGCTTCTGACTCCTCAGAAACGCAGGGAGAACCGTGCGGGGCGGAAAGAAAGCGACAAGGAGGGTTCGAGGCGCAGAGGTGTGGGGTAGCTGGAGAGTGCCCTGGAAGTTTCGGGGCGTCGTCGGTGTTTGCGGGGCTCCCCGGGAAGAGTCTGGGGGAGAAACGTAGAGAGGAATGGAATGGAGCGCGGGGGGCGCGAGGGCTGTGCCGCGCGTCCTTTGGAGAAACCCGAGCCGGCTTGGAGGAGAAGGTCCAGGGCGTCGGAGCGGGAGTTGGTAGCTCTTGAATTCGAGCCCTGTGCCCTAGGCCGGGGATCCCCGAGGCATTACCCTCTGTCAGCGCAAGCCCAGCTAAGCTACCGCCTCTCTGGCCCTGCGATGAGTTCTGGGGCGTGAGGAGCTGGGAGGTGCCGGGCGGGTCCCCAACAGGGCTGGCGGCCTTGTGCCAGCAGCCGGCTGGCGCGGCGCTGGGTGTTTTTTATGATAAAGAAAGGATGAGTCTCTTTTCTGTCTGGGGTCTTTACTTTTCAAAACTTTCCGAATTGCTGTGCTGGAAGGAATTCCCCGATGCCCACCGCTGAGTCCGGTTGTCAAGCTGCAAGCTCTCCAACTTCTTTCAACCACGCGGGTGGGTGCGCGCGGGGTTTGGCGGCTGCGATGGAGACCCAGGATCTCCGCCGTGGGTTCCTTGGCCGCCAGGGGCCGACAGCCGGCCCTGGAACTGCAGGCTTCAGGCTGTCTCGGCCAGGACGTTTTTAATTACTGAATTTTCATAACTCCCGCCCGCCTCCTTGCAGGTGTGTACCCTGAGCAGTTGGTGACTACAGTGGCTAAAGGGCCCGGGGCCTGTATTCTACTTGCTGTACAATGTAGGTCTAGAGCACCCTAATTAGCCTGTGGCCTGTAGGGGATCCCTTTTTCTGGAAATTCAACCTCATTTCATTTCTTAACCTAAAACTCTACAGCTCCAGGGTTTACCTATTTAATATGGATATGGGGTGGGGGAGTTCTCATTTTAAAAGGTCAAGGCATCTTTTTAGCAGCAGTTCGCAGGCTTTTCATTGCACTCTGAGAGCATGCAAGTTAACACTAGTCAGAGGCGCTAAAAGGAATTTTGACAGATCGTTTTGTCTCCTTTATTCCTCCCAGAGTTTGCACTTTTCTCTTTAAGCATAAAAGCTCAGTGCTGGAGAAAGCTCATTCCTGGGGAAGAAATGTGAATCCCAGTTTCCAATATGCCTCTGCACACTGTGTTCCTGTCTTTCTGGAAGACGGTTAGATGTGAGAAAGGGGGGACATGTTATTTTGGGTGAATCATGCCATTTAAAAAGACACACCCTCAAAAGAATAATTACATCTTAACACATGTGTCTTAAAACTGCCTTTGTTTTTTATGGAATTCATTCTTTCCAGCCAAGTCAGAGAAAGCCATGAACAGGGCAAAGGCCTGTCTCATCCCCGGGCCTCACCCTGATGGCAGTGAGGTGATCTT